AAAAAATGGCTTTGTTATAAACCATAAAATGCCATTAAATCCAACTATTACTATACTGTACTGTATTATGGTAACTTTGGACATCTGTGTTGACAGCTGATACAGAGCTGTGAGCTTCTGAATACTGCCAAGTTAAACCTTTTGAGGAAGGTCTTCACTCCCTGCAGTACTGTAGTTTATAACAGGATGATCAGGTGGGTCAGCTCTACACACAATAAACTACCAGACTCACACCACAGACTTAACACCAAAATATTTATCATTGGTCATGTTTGTCACCTCAGAGATCCACTATATCCTCAGACAATAATAATTCTTTGCCTTCCATAATAAAGACCAAGGAATGTACAGTAATATGCAGATTTCTTTGTTAACTCACAAAGGGAAGTTAGAGTGGCAAGAGAAGGCCGACTTATAGTTGTACGAGACAAGACTCATTCATCAGGACCATAAAAATTGAGGCTCACTATGGGTGAGTCAACATTAAGTTATGATTCACCTTTGTGCAAGTCAACATCATAACTACCATGGTCATAAGTGGGACAGTCACTGTAAATGTCTGTCAAGAATAAAGATATAATTCATTTTTTAATAATCAATTCACCATTTATTGGGTAGTTGGTCTGTTCTTTATTATGACCTTCATTGCCCATTGTTAATATTGTACAGTATGGGAAGAAACTGTAGTATTGTAACTGGAGAAAACCTGCCATGTATGGTAGTGAAGGTCACACTGGATAACACCTTTCTCACATCTGTCCCCAGGCTGGGGAATGAACCCAGGACACAGTAGTGCACCACTAAAGATATTCAACTCCTGATATCTGAGAGACAATCACCAGTGTTTTGGTATAAAGACAAAAGACAATATTTTCTTGGTTCTTTTATAATACTAAAGTGGTCTAGTTGTTGAATATATTGGACATTTTCCTGAAAATATTTGTATTCCTGGTATTAATCACATGCACTGTCAACTCAGTGAATGGCATCAATTAAAGTACTGAGTTTAATCACATATATGGCACAAATAGTTGAACAAATTGGCCTCAAAGTAAATAGGCTGCAGTTCCAATAGGTCCCAACCTATCCAAACCATTTTCAGTGTAGCTCAGTCCTGTTGGGCCATAATGCTAATGGTCTGGTAATTATGTTGGGGCCTAAGGACTGGGGTCTATTACACCTTCAACTAATGACAATAATTTGGCGGTATTCTTGGTGATTGAGCTCAATTCTTTAATACAAATTTTGGTTAATAGTGCTATCTAAGGTGCATATAAGACAGATATAGGCTGATGGACTGAAAGATATAGATAGATGGACTGAAAGATATAGATACAGTGGTCCCTCGGTTAACAAACACAATTCGTTCCAGAAGGTCGTTCGTTAACCGAAAATTTCGTTAACCGAAACCATTGTTTCAATGAGATTTTGGGTAATTGGTTCCAGCTCACCGAAAATTACATACAAAATAAAAATAAAAGCAGTAAAGTACACTTATTTTGAGGTGTGTATGTAGAAGGCTCCTGGTTGATGATGATGAAAGGAATTAGAAGTGGGGGGTGGAGGAGAAGGGAGAAGAGAAGGAAGTGGGGATGAAAGAGAAATCACCCCATGCTTCATACCGTCATTTCACCCATAAAATTTTAAGTTCACTAGGTGTAATTCAAGATTATTTTCTTTAAATCAACACTGCACTGCACTATATATTGTCAAAGTGTAAAATAAATTTCAGACTTACCAATAATTGTACTGTAAAAACGTAAAAATAGTTTATGTTCAAGAGAGTCTCAAGCAAGATGTTACCTCTACTGACCAGAGATACAAACTGATGCCTGTTTGGTGAGTTGAGTGGCTGTTTGGCGCACTAAAAACTAGTTTCCTGTACTTCAATTATGTTAAATAATTGTTAAAATGACTAAAAAATTTAATATAAAACTTGGAAAATTATTGAATAGTACAACCTTCAAGATATTTACTCAAATGGGAATGAATTTAAGCCCTAGAACCGATTACTGTATTGGCGGACTAATATTCCAGCTGGTGAGCAAGCAAAAACATGTTGAGAGGAATTCGTTAACCGAATTGAATATTCTTATGGAAGGTAATTCGTTAACCGAAATTTCGTTAACCGAGGGGCCACTGTAGATGGCCTGAAATACATAGATAAATGGACTGAAATATATATAGATGGACTGAAATATATAAATAGATGGAGTGAAATATATAGATAGATGGACTGAGTGATAGACAGAAATACAGTACAGTGGTCCCTCGGTTAACGAGTGCCTCGGTTAACGAGATTTTGATTAACGAGTTACCTTCCATAAGATTCCTAACTTCAGTTAACGAGCAATCCCTCGATTAACGAGTTTCTTACGAGCCGACCTCAACATGTTTTCACTTGCATTTGGCGGTCCACCAGCTGTAGTATTAGTCCGCCAATACAGTAATCGGTTCTAGGGCTTAAATTCCTTACTGTTTTAGTGAATATCAAGAAGTTTATACTATTCAATAATTTTAAAAGTTTAATATTAAATTTTTTAGTCATTTTAACAATTACTGAACATAATTGAAGTACAGGAAACTTGTTTTATGCATGCCAAACAGCCTGTCAACACACCAAAGAGGCATCAGTCTCTGTGTCTTTTCAGTGGAGGTAACATCTTGCTTGAGACTCTCTTCAACTAAACGCTTTTTTCTGTGTTTACAAGCAAATTATTGGTCATTTTGACATAAATTTCACATATTGACAATATATAATGCAGTGCAGTGTTGATTTAAAGAAAATAATCTTGAATTACACCAAGAGAACTAAAATTTTATGGGTGAAATGGCACCATGGGGTGACTTCTCTTTCACCCCAATGCCTTCTCTTCTCCTTTCTCCTCCACCCGCATTCTAATTCCCATCATCATCATCATCATCATCATCATCCAGGAGCCTCTACATACACACCTCAAAGTAAGTGTACTTTTCTACCTTTTTTGTTGAATTTAGGCAATTTTCTGTGAGCTGGAACCAATTACCCAAAACCCATTGAAACAATGGTTTCGGTTAACGAGTTTTTCGGTTAACGAGCAACCTTCTAGAATGAATTGTGCTCGTTAACCGAGGGACCACTGTATAAATAAATACTGTAGAGAGACTGAAAGATACACTGTATTTCTGCCATATAAGATGTACTTTTAACCAAACAAATGTCTCCAGCAGTCATCCTGAATCATATACAGTATGATGATGGTCAGTGTTGTGTCCACTAACTCGTAACGTTAGGACAGAAAATACGAAAACTAATTACCATCAATTTAAGCGCCGCTGTTGCTAATCATTTCAAAAGTTAGAGCCACTAACACTAATTTTGCCCAAGTTTTTTCATAAACTATGGAATGTACAATACCTCAATTTATAAATAAGTTATGTATGTAGTAATTCACTTAAACAAGAGCAGCTCTGAAAGGGTGTTTCTTATCTTTCAGTATAACATTTTCCTGTCAGCTAACTCAAGACTACATATGTCATCCTCTTTAAGTGCCCATGTTTCACTGCTATATACATTCTTCCTTTCATACTGACAATAAAGGCAGCAACTCCCTAAACTTCCTCCAGCACTGATCACATCATCCAGGAACACATTCACAAAGTTGTGTATCTACAGCCATGCTAAAGACACATGATTATCTGCACATACAGAACAGTTAAAGTCAACAGCTTCCTGCAGTCTACCATATAGTCCACTGCACCTCTTGTGTACCCACTTTCCACACTCACTGCACATTACTGAATTACTGCCAACACCTCTCTTAAAGATAGACAGACGTCAGATAAGATAGACCGACTGACTACAGGTATTGAAAGATTGATAGAAAGATATACAGACATAGAAACATAGAGATAGACAGCTATAGACAAACTGAGATATGGACAGATGCAGTGTACAAAAAGACAGAAACACACACCTGTGACTGCAGTTTCTCCATGCACGAGTTGTTAGTTAAGGTTTAGTCTTTAATTCACCTGTAACAAAGAAAAAACAACATTTAATATACGGAACAGTTTATGATTAAAATAAGTTCATGAATTTGTAGTCATCCAGTACAGTAGTTGTTTGTTTTATAAAAATTTGGTTTATGTGAACCTTCTTGGGACTGCAAACCTTGCATGCTTGACAAACACAGTAACTTTTTCTTAAATATTCTCAGCTAAATTTGGGATGCCTTTAATATGAGGGAAATACAATAGTTAAGATAGATACTTGCAGATAGATATTGTACAGTGGTCCCTCGGTTAACGAGCGCCTCGGTTAACGAGATTTCGGTTAACGAGTTACCTTCCATAAGATTCTTAACTTCGGTTAACGAGCAATCCCTCGATTAACGAGTTTCTTACGAGCTGACCTGAACATGTTTTTGCTTGCATTTGGCGGTCCACCAGCTGTAGTATTAGTCCGCCAATACAGTAATCGGTTCTAGGGCTAAAATTCCTTACCATTTTAGCAAATATCAAGAAGTTTATACTATTCAATAATTTTAAAAGTTTAATAATAAATTTTTTAGTCATTTTAACAATTATTGAACATAATTGAAGGTAATGAAACTAGTTTTATGCGCGCCATCCAGCCTCTCAACACACCATACAGGCGTCAGTCTTTGTGTCTTTTCAGTGGAGGTAAGATCTTGCTTGAGACTCTCTTCAACTAAACTCTTTTTTTCTGTGTTTCCAAGCAAATTATTGATCATTTTGAAATTTATTTTACATATTGACAATATATAATGCGGTGCAGTGTTGATTTAAAGAAAATAATCTTGAATTACACCAAGAGAACTAAAATTATATGGGTGAAATGGCGCCATGGGGGTGACTTCTCTTCCACCCCAATGCCTTCTCTTCTCCCTTCTCCTCCACCCCCATTCTAATTCCCATCATCATCATCATCATCATCCAGGAGCCTTCTACATACACACCTCAAAGTAGGTGTATTTTTCTACCCTTTTTGTTGAATTTAGGCAATTTTCGGTGAACTGGAACCAATTACCCAAAAACCCATTGAAACAATGGTTTCGGTTAACGAGTGTTTCGATTAACAAGCAACCTTCTAGAACGGATTGTGCTCGTTAACCGAGGGACCACTGTATAGATAAGTCATATATACTGTAGACAGATAGATTGACATACAGGTAAATACATATATAGATACTGTATATAGACAGAGGTATTTCCTGTTATACAGGTTGACAACCCTTTATCCGAAATTCCAAAAACCGAAAAGCTCTGAAAACCGAAAAAAATTTGCGGAGCAATTTTTTTTTGATTCCACCCAATCACAGGTCACTGACCCACATCGGGGCCTGGGGGGTGAAAATGTAATAGTAATAATAATTATAATAATAATAATAATGATAATACAGTAATAATAATAATTATTCATAGTAAATAAAAATTTTAATAAAAAATACAAAAATAAAATAAGAATGATAACAATAATAATAATAACAATAATACTGTAATAATGAAATAATAATAATAATAATAATAATAATAATAATAATAATAAAGAAATACAAGAATGAAAAAAAGATCAAAAGTGAGAAACACGACCTAGACCTATGAATTATTATTATTATTATTATTATTATTATTATTATTATTATTATTATTATTATTATTATTATTATTATTATTATATTTTAGCCCCCAGGCCCCAATGTGGGTCAGTGACCTGTGCCCGGGTGGGCTGATCCCTGTAAAAAAAAAAAAAAAAACCTAACCATTCTGAAAACCGAAAAATTCCAAAAACCGAAATGCATCTGGTCCCAAGGATTTCGGATAAGGGATTGTCAACCTGTAGATAAATTGAGATATGGATAGAAATGGAAAAAGACACATGATGACAGTCAATTAGAAATACAGACAAACAGAAATACACATGAGCAGATAGATATAATTATATAAAAAGAAGACAAACACACAGACAGAGATAAAACAAATGGCTAACAGTAGTAGAGTTATGACAAATACAACTTGTCAACAGTTTGCAGTGAATCAAGATTTCCCATAGCTATAGGGAATGAGAGCTGCCCTAAAATTTACCTTGCCATAGGTAATAGTGGTGGTGGTAGTGGTGTTATGGTGGTAGTGGTGCCATGGTGATGCTGTGGTGGTGGTGGTAGTAGAGGTCATTTTCAGCTGTAATGGTGCAGTTCAATTTTGTAAAGTCTTGTTCTTAACTTTTACTTTTATCCTCTTTGCTTGGGCTGGAGGTCACATCTCTGTTACACACTGATGGCAAGTACTGGTTCCAGAATGTCCTCCAAGATGTTTATAAACCTCAATTAAGTCACCTCTTGCCTGTCTAAAGTACCATAAAAGCTGTAGGTGTTCTAATCTCTCTGGGTAACTGAGGTGCCATAGAGCATGCACCAGTCTGGCCATTTTCAATCAAATAAGAGTCTCTTGCATCTCTTGGTGACCACTTGGGGCGACAGTACTTATCTCCTGTAACAAACAAAATATTATATGACTATAAAGTACTTGGGGGATTAGGTTACGTAAGCATTAGTGTTTAATCAAAAGGTGAAATACGCTGGTGAGTCTAACCTTCATCTGAGGTCCTAACTATGGCCAGTAATGAAACAGTCAAGGATATGGTTACAAACATCACAAGTGCAACAAAAATAGAGCTCACAAGAGGGCAGTGTAAGGTTATGTCAATTTACATTTTGTGTATTAATGCAGTTCTGTACAACCACGAAATCTTGAGAACTTTTAGCTATGCAATCAGTAGTTCAGACAATTCTAGGAGGTTAGGTTAGGTCAGGCATGGGCAACCTTTCCTCAGTCATGGGCCGTATTACGATTTGGGTATTTTTCTGCGGGCCTACTCACCAAAATTTATATACTACGGTACCTAACTCAAAATTAATGTTAATACCCTGTATTGTATTAGCACGGACAGTGAAACAGTTTATCATCACGTCTACCTTACGATATTTTCAGTTTACAATCATAGTCGTTTTCCAGTTTATGACACAAATTAATCAATTTTTTTTTTAAGTATAATATGTTAATGTTTCTTAGCATTTAACAGAAGATGAGTGAAGCAGTCTGTGGATACATTGGTTTATCTTTCAGTTACAGCATTTATCTTACCTATGAGACACACCCACCAGAATAATGCCAATGTTAATCTTGGCATATGAGGAACTACAATGAAACAACCTATATATATATATATATATATATATATATATATATATATATATATATATATATATATATATATATATATATATATATATATATATATATATATATATATATATATATATATATATATATATGTAATATATATATATATAATTTCAGAAATTTCAGCATAATTAGCGATACAGAGACTTTCTGAGTACCGGAGGAAGGCGCTCCCTGCACATAGCGAGAGGTTGTGGAACTAGGCCTAAGTGATATTAAATGTAATTTTGCGAATTAATAATGATGCGATTCATG